AAAAGAAAGGGACTGGCACTGCATGTAAAACAAAGATGTCTCTGCTAACTATAGTGAGAACGTTAAACGAAAAGGAAAGAGGTAAAGAAAGCGAAAGACTGCAACATTGAGACGACCACGACGAGGTTCTATAGGAGCAGATTTAGAAACAGGAGGGTGTGGGCGTGGTCACGGGCGGCGCAGAACTAAAGGACGCAGAGTGGGGTAGTCCCCAAACAACAGGTCAAGGATGATCCTTCTCCTTCATAACATCTTTGATGAAGTAACAATTTATTTGAACCATAACAACAACAGAACCACATTACGTGAAATGAGTGGTCGGACGTCTCGTAGTAAACTGAGAGACGTTTTTTCTCTTGGTAACACGGTGAGGAAGAGGGAATTTGATTTTGGAGTCGTGGAACATTTTGATTCCAGCTCTCTTGGTGTCAGCGGCCTTCACAGCTTGCACTTTTAGAATATGGATACGGTCAGCCTGAGCACGGTGACGAGCTCCCATGTCACGATAAGCTTGGGTAACAGCTCCTGCAACGGTCACGTCGCGGTATTCCCTGTACATGTTGTGGTGTCCCGTGCGCGAATCATACTTCAACCATACGCCGTAATTCTTTACGGAACCAGCGGTCTTGCTAGGGAAGATCTATAAAACATTACTATTGAACTATTTATCAATTTTCGCTTTCCAATTACCTGTTTGCATGACAAGATCTCTCCATTGGCCTTCTTCACACGCCGAAGCATAGAAACAAAATACCAGAAACGCGATTTGGCAATGACATGATTGGAAGCGAAAATTTGCATCTTCCATATCGGCGTCACCGGCTCCTTCTCGGTTGGAAGCTTGCGCCCGACAACCATATACTCTTTCAAAGTCTCTCCCAAAGCCTTGGTCGGCATGGTAAACCCTTAAGAAAATGACAGATGCGGATGCAAAGCGAGAAAAAGGTGAGACGAGTGACCGCAAAACAACTACCAACGTAACTAGTTTATTTTAGAAAAACATACAGATGGTTACTAATTGCATAAAAATTGTGAAAATAAGAAGTTCGAATCAAATATGAAAAGCTATTCCCAACACGCATGAAAATCCGTTAGTGTATGAAAAGTGACTGCAAATCTGTGATGTTTCGTGATGCGTCTTATAGCACAGTAGTTTGTGACGATGTCCGCGTCAACACGCATTTCGCGCTAGGCCGTTCTTCTGGCGTATTCGCAGATACTAGTGTAACGATTCAGAGAAGAGCGCGCCCTGATAGCATCTA